CTAAAATAGTAATCTTAGCCTAAAGGCTCAACTGGTATAATCGATATTAGTGATTTGAAAAGACCCAATAACATGACCTTGACTCTTTATATCGGCCTTGTTTGAATTTATAGAACTAGAAATTCCACCTGTTGAGTGATTTGTATTGCTAGTACTCTATACAGGGGTTTACTACCCGTATTTTTTTGATATTTGTATGCTTGTATGTCGGGCTAGACGATTTTGTTCTATTTAATTTGCTTGAGAAATGTATTATTGTAGACCCATCATGAAAGTGACTCGATCGAGAGTCGAGACAACGCGAGGTCTCGATTTTGGTCTATCATCATTAGCCAAGTAGTCTTCATCCCTGAAGCCTTTATTCCTGAACTGTCTGAGGTGTGATTTTTTTGTGTGGTCTTCACTGGATTGGTTGGGATATTGGGTGTATATTTTATGTAATTTACAATGGTGTGGAAGCTCATCTCAAGCGAAGTAGGAAGGCGGGGTTGGAAACATGGAGTCGCCTCTAGTTCGCCGAATTGATACGGTCGGAACTCAAACAATCGTACACGGTGTTCTTGGCGTCAAATCATAAGTCTTATACGATATCAATTTATTTGACAATTATCTCATAGTGGTACGTTAGGAGAGATTTCGCCTTCATGTAATTGGTGGGTAGGTTATTCGATATTGATTCTTGAACCTTGCACTCTCTCTGTTGGGCATGATATAGTTTCTTCTATCTAGAGCCTGCGTTACTTCGCGTTTGGATGATTACTAGTGACGGAGAGCTCTGTTGAAGTAAGGTAGCCGACTCATATGGAGACAAATCACTTTTTACGTATGTAGTCTGATGGATCTAGGAGCTTTATTCGTGATTGAGACATTGCGATCTTTCTACCGATAGTACGGTAATACTTTACTCTTAGATCTGGATGTCCCAGCAAATATCGTAGGGTCAAGAACTCCATACGTCGTTGAAGTGTTTCTTTAGATGTTTCTCTACCTCCCTAATTTCTTCACAAGTTTGTTATTTCCTTGTGTTCCAATACTTCTAATTAAGGTTATCCTTTTAGTCAAGGGGTGTCTATATAAGTACAAAGTTACGTGTGGGCAGCGGACAGATCGATCAACGCCCATTTAATTCATGTTTGATGGGATGTAACAATTCCCACCCCTATACTAGTGCAGCCGAACGCATGATAAGTGCTGTTCTCAGATTTTTTAACCACGTATTTAAAAGGATAATTGTGATAGTATGTAACATTATACTAACTGCACACCAGTTAACTCTCAAAACTATGCGTCACACAGTGTGATTTAGATTCTGGTGCAGTGTGATGTAAGTTGTATATTTAATTCTTTTAAAACTTTTTTAACAGAAGTTAGTGAAAAGATTATTTTACTTGTGCAGAACGATCTCAAAAGTGGCATCTTGTGATGAGATATTATCTTAGTAGTCCCTCCACCAGTCTTTGTTGGGGGAGCTCCACAGTTAAAAACTAAGGTTACGTAGTTCAAAGTTCTACAAATATAAATGGCGAAGAAGCCCACATAAACTTTGGACTAGCAACTCACCAAAATATTTTAGAATATTTGGAAACAAGGAAAATCACCAACTTGTAGAAGAAATTAGGGAGTAGAGAACACATCTAAAGACACACTTCAACTGACGAAGTCGACCTAATTGCTGACATATATCAAAATTTACTATCGGTAGAAAAGTCTCAGTAACAAAAATCAACCCAAGATCCCCGAAAAATCCTCCAACAAAACCCGCTATAATATCCAACCAAAAGAAGCTGGTAAAAAAATATGCCCAACAGAATTCAGAGCAAAACAATTTACATGAACGAAATCTTCTCCTACGTAACTATCATAAATTTGTCATAAATTTTATTCAAACTACCAATCTCTCCACACCCGAAAAAATGATATCTTTGTAAGGATGTCATTTCTGCCCCACCCCAGAAAACAGACAAAAATTACCACCCGAGACTTACTACTTTTCTTCGATAGAAGAATGAGATTAAACACTATTTTAAGTACCACATACAACCAATCCCCGCCCGTCAAACAAGCTCAGATGGAAACCACTGCAGGCAAATCAATTTAACTCGATGCATTTCTGTCAATCGTTTTCATCATGACATTCTTACAAATTAAACAGTCATCCGAATACAAATTACAATATTACACCGATGAAAGTAACTTAGCAATAACAAAATTCAACAAAATAAGGATATCATTATAAAACAAGCGACAAAGGAGGAGCGATAGTCATTTTAAATAAATCCGATTACAATTGCCCGAAGAGTCTAAGACAACTCAACGACAAAAAACACATACAGGACCACACCCTACGATCTTACGAACAAATCCACCAGAGAGATCAACAATTTTTTAACATATCTGAAGAAACACTCCCTTATGTCACAGCAACCACATCAGCTACCTTACTGCGAAAAATTGCAGGACACCCATCTTCTTATTTATTACCTAAATACATAAGCAACTAATAACCCGGACGCCCATCGTCTCAGCGTTGTGGAAGTCCTACAGAAAAATTATCCGAATTTGTAGATCACTTTTTACAACCATTAGCACGTAAAATCCCATCATATATTAAAGATACCCGTCATTTCCTAGAAAAATACACGAATTAAACAACGTACCTAAAGACGGCATTCTTAGTCACAATAGATGTGACAGCACTTTACACTAATATTCCACACAAAGAAGGCATTTAGCAGCCAAATATGCACTACACAAAGATGCTGAACAAGACCTAAAACCTGGATCCTTCTAAGATTACTTTCTTCATACTCAAGAAAACATGTTTCAGATTCAATGATACATTTTATGAACAAATTGCCCGGAACCACGATGGGTACCAAATGCGCACCTAGCTATGCGATAATTTTTATGATATAGAATAAACAAGAGTTCCTAGCTAAATACCGATATCTCCACTGGTATGGTGGAGATATATTGACGATATATTTATGGTTTGGCCACACTCGAGAGAGGATTTGAATTCCTTCACTACGGCCTTAAAAATAGTTTCCACACAACGATCAAGTTTACGATAGACATAAACCTAACATCAGCAAACTTCTTGATGTTACTGTCATAAAGACTTAAAAGGAAAATTATCAACCACACTATACACAAAACCAACGGATGCACATATGTATTTACACTATAGCTCATTCCATCCACGTCACCAAAAAGCAAGTATCCCATATAGCCAAGCCGTCAGAATACGGAGAATATGCAGCACTGACGAACAATTTGAAATATGCACAAAACAATTACGGGAAAACTTATTGCACGCGGTTATCCCAGAAATTAATATACGAAGCATCAAAAAAGCCAAAATTACCAATCTTGATACCAATGTCGATACTAAATCACAAAAGGAAATTATACCGCTTATAATTACTCATAACCCGCTTATTCTAAGGACAAATAATATCATCTCTAAATACACCCACTCCTGGAAAACGACCCCACTTTAACAATGTTCAATGAATACAAAATATGTACAGTATTTCGAAAACCAGCAGTTGCCTAAGAAACACACTCACAAAATCAGACATCAATCCCCAGATGAAACCACAAGGGATCACACACCATGTAAAAGAATTGTATCGCATGCAAACATATCAGCAGTAAATCATATGTTAAAATTCATTCAACAGGAAAATACTTTCATATCAAAGGCACATATGACTGTAATTCATCCAGTTTAATCTATTTAATAACATGCAATAAATGTGGTATACAATATGTAGGACAAACCGGCAACACTATAAAAGAACGTCTATATGGCCATTTCGCAGACATAAAAAATGCCAACAATTATAAACCCGTTTCCCGCCATTACACAACACACGAACACAACGTTAATGACGTCGACGTAACTATGTTATTATCAACACTAAAGAACGTCAACATCCGCCTCAGAACTGAAGAAACACTTATATCAATATTTAAAAACACGATCACCATCCGGACTTAACTTAATACAGTTAATAATGGACATTCAAAGTAATTTACAGAAACAACAGTTAACAGCTAACAACGAACACTTCATTGAATATCCAAAAAACTACGACAATGTAAAACCTGCAACAAATTTCTGAAAGGATCTAAAAGTAACTTCAACCGACACTTTAAAATTCACCAAGACACGAAATTACGATTTATATGCTACATCTGCAACAACTCTTTAGCCGACGTGAACACCTCCAGAAACACAGCAATACGATACACAAAAACAACCACTAAAACGATTACCTCACCAAATTAGAGAAAAAACGACAACATGAAATAAAACCTATCAAACTTTGGAAAAACTTTTGAATCAACCACCATACCGAATTCCGTATAATACCCGGCGTTAAATATGGCTACAGAATACACCACAATCAACAACGCCAACGGACGAATTTTAAAGAAATGATAATAGATCCGGAATTATCCCACTTCAACTGTCACCCTTTAGAAGTAACAATCCGTCGCCAGTGCAGCAGCCACACAAGTACATCAACCAATTGCCAGGATGAAAAAGAAACACTGAATGACGTTAACATAAACATTTATTCCATTTACGTTATTTTTCTTAAAAGTTATACAGCTAAATATTAGATTAGGGGTAAACCCAAAATGACATAATTTTAAACTATTTTTAGAACAAATCACTGTGACGTAAAGTATACTCCGATTTTTGTACGTTAGACAATGATTTTTCTATTATTCTGATATTTTATAACCCTGATGAAGACTCGTGAGAGTCGAAACGTCGGTTATCATCATTAAATAAACCTTAAAACTTATCCTGTGTTGATTGTTTGTTCCACTTGTATTGTTTTTCTTGTAGATATTATACTGACAAGTTAAGAAATGCCTTGGATAAAAATGGACAAGTAAGTCAAAATGGGATTTTGCTGGCCACGAACTGAATAAAAGATTTTTTAACATTTCTATATTCACTATAAAATAAAGGTGTTCACCATGAATCCAAGTTTCTGTACAATTCTAGCATATTTTCTTGCAGCCAGCTTAGCTTGATCCTCACTGTAAATACAAACAAACATGAAGATAGCAGATAGTGTATACATTCTTTCTTGTAACTTTACTTATCTACTCTCACATACTGTTCAAAGCACAACATCATTTTATAAAATCATTTTTTTAACAAACAGCAACTTTCAAACAAAGACCTCAGTTTCTCCACCATCCCTTAACGATGCCCCCACATTGTTCAAATAAAATCCATTTGCTACACATAATGATGCCCTTAACATGCTGGAGACTAGTGATAAAGAGTTCAGTTTGACCAGCCTCTTAATTATTGGTACAAGTAACTCTATTTTTGTATTTTTATTTTGAAATTCCTTAAACTTTGAATTGATAGCTCAAAATTCAAACTCTATAACACAAATTCAGCAGGTTATAGGTTAATGACTTCTCTATAAATTAATTATCTTAATTAATTCATTAATTACCTTTTAGCACCTGTACACACCATCTTGCCTGAACTAAATATAAGAGCTGTAGTTCTTGGTTCCCGGATTCTCATGATTACAGCAGCAAAACGTTTAGGATTATACTCGGCATTCCTAGCATGCAGAGCTATCTTCTTGAGATCTAATTTACAACCTAGATTCACTGTACATACAATATTCCTATAATACAGAAAAAATATATATACCAATATAAGTTCAAGTAATAGAATAATAATCACATCAACACAAGGACAAAAAATATGTTTCAGTTTGACTTCTGATAAATAGCCTACATTTTGAGCTCATGTTAAAATTACACAGTAGAAAAACTTATAATGAAAAGTACTGACAAGACACTGTGTTATTTTAATAAATGTATACATGTACTATCTTTATTTTATGTGTTTATTTTCTTTGCATTAAAAGCATTGTCTTAATATATACTTCTTTATTTTATGCTCACTAGTAAAAACACTGAGTTTTCTCTGTAAAGTAAAATCCATTTCACTTATAGAATACCATTCACAGTGTGACTGATCAATACAGCTTTGTCAAACATTATGCTGACATACTTGTATGAATCTGTTCATGTATACTTTACATAAAAACTAATTATTTCAGTTTCTTTTTTCAGCATTTGTGGAAATATTGCATTTTTCACTAACTTTTCAGTGTGACATACGCAAATATTAACACAAATTCTAACAAGACCAACATTTTTTCCTATTAAACATAGAAGGACCTTAAATGTGTGTTATTATGCAATAAAATCACTGTTGATGTTCTATAATTAGACATCTGACAGTACCATTAGACATGCGACGTAACCACTGAAAATGCCATGCGCTGAAAGTAAGCATGAAAACAAATCATGAGCAATTAAGCTTAAATCAGGTATGGCAGTATTTTTCCGTTGATGTTGTGTTAGAATTGAAATAACATACCCAAATCAGGGGTTTTATCACTTGATAAAATCACTGTTTGTCGTTCCAATGCATGTACTGATATAATTTCCTGCATCGGAACTCCAAAAAGATATTTTATTTACAATAAAATCACTGTTTTGGATACATTACTTCTTAATTAAAACAAATATCTTCTATATATGAACACAGAGATATTGTGATATAACATACTGTAATGTTGGTACGATGCCAGATCCCTCTGATGCCGGGGCTGGAGATATCGGTGTCATAGGACCCCCAGGTGTGGCAGGAGGGTATAAACTGTTGTTTGATGGAGGCATAACAGGTGTCGGTGTTGGTCCTAAACCAAATGCCTGCAACGTTCCAGGTGACACAATGGGACTCTGTTTTTTTAAAAAATAGGTATTGAAAGTTAGTAAACTCATACGATAACACTAACTGCATACATATATAATATTCTTTTAACCCTACAAACCCTAAAAGGTTTATATGACATTTGATTTATCATTCACAAATACAAATACTTTTAATAGACATTTGAAATTCCCTATTTTTTAGAACATGAACAACCTTGACAAAAGTGGCCACCATTTTGTGAGTTTATCGCTAGTAATTAATAGATTTTTATTTGTAGAAAAAACATGTTATGAACAGAGCTCACAGTATAACAGTCTTATCTAAGAATGATTTGATTATGAAAATGAAAAAAGTACATGTGTAAGCGGCCAGATAGACCTCAGTCAGTAGAGCCGCGGAACAGTATTCCCAGGGTCCCGGGTTCGAGTCCCAGTCAGGCGGCACATTTTTCTCACCCGGTGACATTTGGCGCCCAACGGGAGACCGTGACTGGATATAGCTCAGAGTTTAATTTACATTGCTCTGTAACTCTGTGAAATTCACGGGCGATTTTCAAATATAGCAGGGGGAGTATGTCACAGTTCAGAATTGTTCACTTAAAAGGGTGCAGATGTTTAAGCGGCGGAACAGTATTTCTCACCCTGTGACACTTCTAATGATTTTACTTCACCTGTCTTTGGAGACCGGACACCGTCGAAGAACGGAGTTGGCTCCACCAACTTTCATATTTATCAGTTTATTTTTCATATTTTCTGCAATAGCCCATTATTTAATTTATGTACATTCTGCTTCTTTCATTTTTTGTAACTCGTCTAATAAATTGAGCATTTCTATATTTTCTCAATTGCCCTGCATAATTATTCATTATTCCATAGCAAACTTTGGAAAAACAGTGAAAAAGAACAACTGAATTCAAGTACCTGTTGTGGCGTCATACCGCTACTGTACGGAAAGTTTTGGCCTTCCATTTCGACTAAATATATTTTTCAACGAAATAAAACTGCTATCGTTGATTATATGAAGATGTCAATGCTTTCTTAACATGCTAAAGTTTATTTCTCATTATTTGCGCCGGTGGCTGCCATGTTTTACGTCGCTTAAAACTTATACAAAATGTTTTTGTAAAAAAATATATCAATAGGCATCGAAAGTGAAAGACCGATTGCCTAATTTCATGAATAAACAAAATCAAATTATAGAAATATAATATTTAATTGGAACAAATAAAAAGTAAGAAAAGATGTTTTATAAATGCTATAAGCTACTAATTTAATCGTACCCAATAACTGTCGAGCCTTTTGATTCTGGATCTGGATGGTAGGTTGCATGACCTTTCAGCATATAAGCAACGGGACAGAGAAGAAAGTCCAGTAGGCTGATTTGAAGCCGTCTACTGTCTTAGCTTGCGCAACATTATCACCCAATTTATTCCAATCATAAATTATCGTGGGAAAATGATTTGTTATCTAACTTTAACAGTTTAACAGTTTAAGTTTTACAATGCACAGGTTTAAAGCATTAAGAATAATTTATTATCTGGTATTCTATAATGTTATCTGTGGCACAACTCTAAAAAATCTTAGCTTTCACTCTGCATTTATTTACTCAGACAGTAGTCCAGTATAGTCTTTGCAAGACAGTAGGTTAGATATTGCCCAGGAATTACAGTCAACCCGGCCCAAGTTAACCCGGCCTCAATAATATGAATAAGGGGAGCGGTGGCCTAGCGGTTAAGGTGTCTGCCTCTCAACCCGGGGATCATGGGTTCGAGCTCTACTTGGGTCACGACCATGTTTCTTCATATGACACCAGTACTGGTTGGTTCCAGGAAGCGGACTCGAAAGTGATTAATATAAGTTGCAAGAACTTGTTTCGCAATCGAGCTTAAATAAATATGTTTAAACCAATAATGTGAATAATTATCAAGATAAACAGCACAAGATAATGTATTCAAATCATCACATTTTCTTTAAATAAGTTGTTTATTAAACAATAAAGCACATTGGTTAACTAGTTTTGATCAGTGTTGATGACAATGGCTAATCTGATTCTAGATATCATAACTCTTTTTTTTATCGTGCAATAATAATTATTGTCCATTCTAACATGACCGGCATTTTTCCCTATTGAACATAGAAGAACCGAAAGTGTGTGTTATAATGCTATAAAATCACTGTTTGACGTTCTATATTTATTTTAGACATGTGACTTAATCATTATACACGTGACGTAACCACTAAAAATGTGACGCGCTGACAATTAGTACGGACACAAATCAGGCGCAATTTAGCTAATTATCATGTACGGTTGATGTCATGTGAGAATCAAATTAATATATTCAAATCGGTGATTTTATTGCTTGATAACATCACTGTTTGTCGTTCGGATGCGCATCATTATATCACTCGGGCTACGCCCTCGTGATATAATTCCCCGCATCCGAACTCCAAACAGTGATGTTATTGACCAATAAAATCACAGTTTGGGATATATTATTTCATAATTTAAGATTTAAAAGAGAAAAACCAAGACAGAAATATCAATAATAATATTTAATTAGGTTAATAAATTATCACTAGGTAACTGCAAAATTGGTCAACACTAATAAACTATATAGAATGATATTATGACAATCCACAAAGAATTACTAATCATTATAAATATTTACCAAAACACCAATTTATGAGGAGTAGGGTGATGGGACTATTTTAAATATATTTAAAATATTTAATTATTGACGACAGCTTCCCTGTTATGTATTCGTCAGTATTTTCTTCTAGCCTAATATTTAACAAGCTTTCTTATTGGATATTCATATCTCGTTTTTTGATTGGTTGTAGTAGTTTATTTAACGGCACTGCCAGTTATTCGCGCCACTTCTTGATTTTTGTTTGTAAGCGTCACTGTTTGAACAACATTTTTGCCCGCCCGCCCTTCAACAAACCCATTTATGAAGTTGTTTTATTATTATTATCAATTTATATATATATTTTTTTTTCTCCCGTTTTGTTTTTACATTCATATGTTCATGTTGTTTATTTGTCTTTCATCTTTATTTCATTTCATATTGTGTTTTAATAGTTATTTCTTTATTTAATTTATTGTTAATAGTAGAAAAATCAATTGTTGTGCATCCTATGCTTTGCATGATTTGTTTACGGTCGTGATTCAATGTCATTTATGCGGGTATTTATGCTTGTTGCATTTATGTTCAACATTATCTGTATTGCATGTTCGTTTAATTATCTGTTAATTGAATTGTCTTCTTGTATTGCATGTTTGCATACTTATCTGATAATTGAATAGTCTTACATGTATTGCTTGTATTGCTTGTATAGTTATTTGTTAATCTAATAGTCTTACAGTGACGCACATTCATTCATTAAAATTTAATTATTACTTTGACTTGAGTTGTTATTTAGCAAGGATAATAATTGGCATACACAAACAGACAGCACTTGGAGAAGTGATCCCAGTATACATGTATGTCTAAGTGGCAGTAGCTACTGGGTTGCAGGTGATACAAAAATCATTAATGGCCTAAATTAGGTTTTTTTCATTCAAAGGTTATAACTCAGCCAAAAAAATTTCAGCCAGAAAATCTGCTAAATTTTGGCTAGAACTTGAGGTACCGATTAATCCTGTAAAGTTTGAATTAATAGTATCAGAGTAGTCCATACAAACTTTAAAAAATAATTAAAGGGACATAACTCTGACAAAACTCATTGAACTGGAAAATGCTGACAATATACTGCAATACACAGCTTAATGGTACTAATAATATTCCAGTGTAGTTTGGATGAAGTTTCACCAGTAGTTTTTGAGGAGTAGGATTGACAACTCATGACAGACTGATGGACAGATATGCTAATCTCAGATCTCTCTACCAGTTGAGCTACATGTACACTCTCTCCCCTAGTAGCAATCAGTTTTACTTTGACTGTCCTATTTACAAATTGTATAAAAGTGGATTTATAATTGTATTTTGTAATTATATTATAAAAATCATAGTATCATGCTTTATAGCCATGAATTTGTATTTTTTATATCTATTTATTTAATGCAAGCATCATTATTACTTAAAAAGTACAAAAACAGGAGAAAAAGACAAAGTAAAGCTCTATATATGGAACCTACATAATGGATCCAGAAGGAGATGACACACAAGTTAATGTTGATATTTCTGCTGAAACAGACAAGAGAAGAACTGAACAAATAGAGGTAGACCACACACACATGGAGCCTGTGGGAGCCCAACATACTGAGATAGACAATTCTGAAAGAAGTCAGGTTAAACAACAAGAAGAGCAACATCTTATACAGATTGTTGCATCAAATGAAGAAGTATGTAAACTTGACCATCAGCCTTAATCACATTCTGATTAAACTTTTACAAAAAAAACTTGAAAAATATTTTTTTAATGCTTATTTAATGAAAGAATTATTATTAATATTGTTTTATTATTTTTGATTTTATAATTTCTAAGTTTTGACAAGTCATTGTATAACTCTTATACTTCATGCTATATTTAAATATTTGTGATATCTTCTAATTGAACAGATAAACAGGAGAATAGGGGCCTTGATAGAACAGAAACAGAGAGAACTTGATGAAAATAATTGTCAAGAATTCTGTGGTGTACATCCAGGATTTCAAGGTATGTTACACTATGATTAAGAAATTAAACCCAAGACTATTTCCCCTCCCTAACAGTTACCCTCTAATTGAATTTGACTACTTTTCATTTGACTGGACAATTTACGACCATATTTTCTCACACCAGACAATTTACTACTTACTATTTTCTTTCCTTGGATAATGCCATTCTTGTATATTCGGATATAGCAAACAAATCACCTCTTGCTAAACTATATGTTTAGTAGTTTGCACTGCAGAAAGACAGATTGCATTCCATTTATTACATAAAATTGACTTGTATAGGAAACTGACTTTATCATCTTCTCATAAACTTTAATGTCCAAGTTCAAATTCCTAGATCTAAGGCATACTGTATTCCTAAAAATCTTGTGGATACAAATCATCATAAGGATGTTGTTTTTCCCGAAGAGAAACTTCTGCGCAGTCATAGTGACCAAAATTGTGCGACTATTAAGGTATAGGTTATGCATACTACACTGAAGTACCTCATAAATGATAACCTGAGCATTGGTTAAAACTATAAACGTTCTTCATGAATTTGCTACACGCTTAGACTTAGACCTGTATTAACTCAGCTTGTGATACAATTTCTTTTATGTTTCTCAAATTTTCATATTTTGTTTGTGAAGAATAACACCATATAAAACTAAATATCATTCATCACATGCCTATTTTTATAATTATTTTACCAGAAATGTACTGCCTTTAACAGATAATTAAGTCATCAAAATTTAGTAAAATTTTTAAGGGCAGAAAAAGAGCACATGTCATTTTATAGTGTTACAGAAGAGAACATAAAAGTTTATGAATCGCGAATTCTGAAATAGTAGGTGTTGTGTTGTTGTTTTTTAAGTGAAAGGAATTAGTGTTTATTCTATTGAATTATTGTAACATTGTTTTGTATAGACTTGGAGAACCAGTGTGCTAGAACTGCGGCTGTATTTGTACCCAGAGCTGGAGGAAAAAGTCACATCAAAGGTACTTTATATATTAAGAAAATCTTTAAATTTAATTCAATATACATGTAGAAATAAAAATATCGGGGTACAAATATTATAGAGCTTGGTCAGACTGCACAGATACTGCATGTCATACTTATAGACACATTACTCATATCATATCATAGACACAATACCATATCATATCATAGACACATTACTCATATCATATCATAGACACACTGCCCATATCACTACCCATATAAAAGACACATAGACACATTACCCATATCATATCATAGACACATAGATACACTACACATATCATATCATAGACACACTACCCATACCTTTTGCTAAATAAGTTTTGTTTACTGTTACGTACACTGATACGGAAATATGTTCGTTAATATTATTTATGCAGGTCTTATATGCTAGTATGTAAATTGCCATATTTGTAATTTGTACTGAGCATTTTGCCACAATTGGGTCGTTGACCTTCTGGTTTGATATGAATAAAACTTTGAAACTTTGAAACTTTGAAACTTTATCTTAACATAGACACACTGCCCATATCATATCATAGACACACTACCCATATCATATCATAGACACACTACCCATAACATATCATAGACACACTGCCCATATCATATCATAGACACACTACCCATATCATATCATAGACACATAGATACACTACACATATCATAGACACACTACCCATATCATATCATAGACACGCTTCACATATCATATCATAGACACACTACCCATATCTTAACATAGACACACTGCCCATATCATATCATAGACACACTACCCATATCATATCATAGACACACTACCCATATCATATCATAGACACACTGCCCATATCATATCATAGACACACTACCCATATCATATCTTAGACACACTACACATATCATATCATAGACACACTGCCCATATCATATCATAGACACACTACCCATATCATATCATAGACACACTACCCATATCATATCATATCATAGACACACTACCCATATCATATCATAGACACACTACCCATATCATATCATAGATACACTGCCCATATCATATCATAGACACACTACCCATATCATATCATAGAGACATTACCCATATCATATCATAGACACACTGATATGTCGAACAAGCACAAAACATGAACCATTAATAATATTTCATGTCATATATTGTGTTTACAGTAAGTCGTGTTGTGAACATGTATGGTCCACAGACTCGTGCACTCGGTCAAAGAGTAAATGAGAGACCTGACAACAGTGAACATAAACCAGCAACAAATATGATGGATGGGATTGAAGAAAGACTGGCAAACATGGAGAAACACCTTAAATTAACAGGTGATAATTTTGGTCTGTAGTGTAAATAAGGTTTCTGAAATCATGTTTTATTTTCTTGTTTGCATGAGCTGCAGAGTTGTTTAGCTACAAAACTCAGCAGTGTCTGAGATATTGTGGTAATAATAAAATTTTGTATGAGTTATTATTATGCGTTGTTGATGTTGCGTTAGGACTAAATCTAATTATGATTGGTTGTTCTTTTATTAAACTGTAGAAATTGTTTATATATGCTGATAGTAAACAATATTTAGAAACTACAATAAAATAGCAAGTACAAATGTTTATTATATGCATTAATGAATTAAATAATAAATATACAATGTAGTTAATAATCAGTGCTATATCAGTGCTATATCTTACTTAAGCATTAAGTAATTTTGATATAGGAGGGACATTGGTGGCCAAGTTGTTCACATTAAGATTGCTGACTTCAAATTACTTGCCACTCTGTGTGTGTTTGAATCTGTTCTGGATGGTGTTTTGCCCACTCTATAAAATTTTGAGGTGTGGGGTTTTGACCTGTGGGGTTTTGCCCTACATTAGTAAACTTTCCTGGTACTTGAGTGAAAGTTGGTGGTTCAATTGCTTGTGCCTTACATTATGCAAGAAGCAGGATGCAAGGTCTTCTTCCACCGGTAAAGCTGAAAAGCTACTATACCACACAATGTATGAGTGACTTTAAACCTAACAAAACAATTCTCATTGCTCATATCTTGGCAGAAATTTTTCCCTCAGTGAAGCACATGATTATTGCAAGAACAAGATTGGTTTGTCATTGTCATTCTTAGGGTGCAGTATGGTCAAACATTGTCTAATCCTAGTAATACTTACTTGTTTACAGAAATTATTACCGTAATAATATGTCATATTGGTAAATTAATTAAGGACATATGGTGAGATCATGGTTTAAAATTAGCTATGACAAATTAAATTTTCTTTAATTTACTTATTGAGCATTGTGTATATGATCTACATGTAATAATGTTGTGTTCTGCGAATTCACTTATATTCGTGGGCATTCGTGGTTTTATCAAAACGGGCATTTTCATGGTTTCTTAAATTCGTGGATTTTCAATTTCTTGTAAACAAAATAAAATAAATAACCTAATGCAAAGTAATCTTACACTTAATCGCCTCGCATTTTACTAACCGCATGTACATATCTTTAAGTATCACACAGCTCTTGTCAATAGATTTAATCCTTGCCTCTGGGCATTCATTACACAAAAATACGCAGAAAAGCGCCTATGAATGTTTGTAAAGTATAGAATAGAAACATGGCAAGAAGTATTTGTTGCGATAAAATTTCGTTGGATCTTAAATTCGTGGATTGGCCTACCCACGAAAACCATGAAAATTTGTGCCCCACGATTAATAATGATCCAACAGTATTTTTTAACAATTTTCAAAATTTTTATAGTTTTTACCCTATTAAATGACAAACTTGTCTCTAAAGTTTGAAAAGGAACAGATTACAGTTGTGATATTTATATATTTAGTAATAGAAAGAGCACCGAAACACCCGAGTATAAATCAGATTGCCTCGTGTTTTGGTGTTCTTTCTCTTTTGTATCATAGTCAAACATGACAGCACGTTCCCTGATGTCATAATACGAAACCCCAGAAAAAATGAACCAATGAACGAGCATTTGAATATGACATTTCTGCCCCTTTCCCTTTCTCTGCCGTCACAATATGTAAACCCCAGCAAAAATGAACCAATCAACTGGCATTATCTGGAGTGCGGGTAACTGATACCTGCACTCCAGTTACCGCACTGTGCATGTATATGTATACGATTTAACTCTGACACTTTTTCAACAGAAAGGTCCCCAAACTATGATACAATGATTTGTTAATATCTATGGTAACATAATTATTTTTTGCACAATCAAAGTTTTCTTGCAATTTTTACAGGATCCTCTAAGTCGGATGTATACAGTAGACTTAAAAATCTGGAGGAGAGAATTTTGTTCCTGGAAAGTTTGTCACCAGAGTATTTTACATCAGGGGTAATCATTATTATGAACTGTTTTTTATATGCCTGAATAAGTTTTGGCGTATATTGTTTGTTGTGCACCTGGTTGTCTGCCAATCCATCTTAGCAATGTGGTATCTGAATGTATCTTTTGAACCAATGGAAGGAAAATGAAACTACTTGGCAGAAATGTTAACAATAATGAGACGATGTGCAGAGCACAGATTTGACCTTCCTTAGTTCAAGGTCATACTTATTCATTATGTGTGAGTTTCAAAATGTTGTGTCTGTTCTGTGTCTTTGGAACCAATGAAAGGGGAAAAAAGGGGACATATAATTGTCGGCAGCGTCGTTGTCGGTGTCAGCATTGGCGGCGTTCCCTTAAGCTTGCCCTGAGCATAACTCAGTCACTATAAGTCTGATAGACTTCAAACTTGGTATGTATGCTTCTTATAATGACCTGTAGTGCAGCGCCTAAAGAATCGTTACTCTGCACTTAACAATTTTTTTTAGTTATTGCCTTTGTTTATTTTCATACTTTATTTTGTGTGGGTCAACTCTCTTACACTTCAAAAGCTATTGACTTGAAACTTCATATGATGATAGATCTCATTCGGAAAAAGTGCAGTGCATAAGAACTGGTACTCTGCATTTCCTATTTTTTGTGTTATTGCACTATGTTAATTTTTATACTTAATTAATTAATAATTATAAAAGCTATGGACTTGAAACTTCATAGGGTGATTGATGTTATTGATAAGGAGTGCAGTGCATAAAAACCGATACTCTGTACTTCATGATTTTAGAGTTATTGCTCTTTGTTTCTAATAATACTTTATATTTTTGTCCGTGCTAAGTCTCCTACACTTTAAAAGCTATTGACTTGAAACGTCACAGGCTGATAGATCTCATTGAGGAGAAGTGCAGTGCACAAGAACTTGTACTTTGCACTTCATGAATTTTGAGTTCTTGCCCTTTGCTAATTTACTTACTTAATAGGCTTGTCCAGAACATATTGGTCACTTTTAGTTTGATTGTTCCAAATTTGGTATGTAAGCTTTTTTCATTGAAGTGCAGTGTTTTAGAATCCATCACAGAGTCCTCAATATGATCTGTCAGAGTAAAACTTTTCCATGGTATTTTTATTTTTGATAATATAACAGTTTTATTAATCCTGATGTAACATTGTTACAATCAGTTCAGATGCCACGAAAGTTAAAGGTACATGTACATTGTAAGAGCAGTGTTTATTTAGAAGAAAATGCCTAAGTGACCGATATACTGTGCAGAAGGTGACACATCTGACTCGCAGAGTTCTAGTTTAAACAACATCTTCTCCTTATCTACTGTAACAGTTTTTACTTCACTTGACTGAAAAACATGTTGATTTGCAAATTAAAATTCTTATTGTAAGATACTGCAGAACCTAGAGTTTATATATTAAATATGTTAACAATAAAGGCTGGTCATGATCTGATTTAGCTGCAATTTCATAACTTTTTGTCAATAATTGAGCCGCGTCATGACAAAACCAACATAGTGTGTTTGCCACCAGCATGGATCCAGACCAGCCACCGCATCCGCGCAGTCTGATCAGGATCCATGCTGTTCGCTATCAGTTTCTCTACTTGTAATAGAGTTGGTAAGCGAACAGCATGGATCCTGATCAGACTGCGGGGATGCACAGGCTAGTCTGGATCCATGCTGGTCGCAAACCCATTATGTTGGTTTTGTCGTGACGCGGCTTATTTGTCTATAATGCAGACACATTTGTTAGTTAGTGTTAAGTGTACTGTATTAATAGACTAGATTTGCAAAATAAGTGTTGAATTTATGTACAAAAATGTGTATGAATTTATTATAGGCACCTCCAGTAAAGAGATCCAGACAGGCTTCAATACCAGACAGCAGAACCCATATAAACCAGGTATGTATTTACTATCTTATTTCTAAAGAGATTAACGTAAAACTTCAAAAAAATGTTTGTTATCATCACCCGAATGATGTGTGAAAAGATTCATAACTCTAGCACACATTTTCTTTCTTCAGAATCATCCCCCTTTAACTTAGAATTTATTTTTAAAAATGGTATTTTTGTGTCGCCTCTACGGAGAAGTGGCGACATATAGGGATCACTTCTCCGTCGTCTGTCTGTCTGTCCGAGCAAACATTTTGGGTTAAGGGGCTATATAACAGTAAACAGAACAAAAGAGAACAATAGGTTCATTCCGTGATCAAAGGGTTTAGGGGCTAGTAGCCCTTAAGAAAACAAAGAAAATAACAAAGAAAATAGCCCCTAAACCCAAAATATTGGAACGTCCGTCTGTTGGTCCGTCACAAAACTTGTCCGGACTACTCCTCATAAACTACTGGTGCAATTTCATCCAAACTTTACAGTAATGATCAGTACCAAGTCTAGTTGTGCATATTGTCAGCATTTTCCAGTTCAATGATTTTTGTCAGAGTAATGGCCCTTTAATAATTTTTATTTTTAAAGTTTGTCCGGACTACTTCTCTTATACCACTAATGCAATTTCAATGAAAGTTTACAGGATTGATCTGTAGCTCAAGTCCTTGCGCATATTGCACGGGTTTTCCGGTTGAATGATTTTTGGCCGAGTTATGGCCCTTTGATAAAAAGGTGTTTTTTTCTGTGTGTTGCCAGATACACAAAGCTTGTCCGGACTACTCCTCATAAACTACTGGTGCAATTTTATCCAAACTTTACAAGAATGATCAGTACCAAGTCTAGTTGTGCACTGTCCGTCTGTCTGTCCGTCTGTCACAAAACTTGTCCCAAAGAAAGTTTACAGGATTGATCTGTAGCTCAAGTCCTTGTGCATATTGCACGGGTTTTCCGGTTGAATGATTTTTGGCCGAGTTATGGCCCTTTGATAAAAAAGTGTTTTTTTCTGTATGTTGCCAGATACACAAAAGCTTGTCTGGAATACTCCTCATAAACTACTGGTGCAATTTCATCCAAACTTTACAAGAATGATCAGTACCAAGTCTAGTTGTGCACTGTCCGTCTGTCTGTCCGTCTGTCACAAAACTTGTCCCAACATGAAATTGGCCATCATGAGGCGACACATGTGATCACTGATCGCTCTTGTTACTATAACTTATTTATTTCTGAAGTATCTACTTGAAAGTCTTATATTTGTTACTAATTACACATTATATGTGACAAGATTCATAACTCTAGCATGAATATTTCCAGAATTATTCTGCAGTTGGCTGCAGTTTTGATCCAAATTTCCTGGAAATCAGTCAGGAAGGTTGTTTTGATGACTTCTAGGTCAAGTTTGAATATGGGTAGTATCCGGTCAAAAACTAGGTTACACTGCCCAAATATGGAAAAACCTTTTTAACACACTAGAGGTCACATTTTTGACTCAATTGTCATCAAACTTGGCCAGGATGCTTGTCTAAGGCATTGCTTGGTTGCGGTTGATGGGTCAGGGGAGCGATCTAGGGCCATCATAGCCCTCTTGTTTAGTTTTTAAAGGATTTGCTTTAAACCTTAAAATTTAAGTTTCACATCCACTCCCATATGATATTCAATAATAATATGACAAGGTTCTTAACTCTAGCATCAAAATTGTCCAAATTATCTTATTGTTTCACTTTCAATGTTTGTCTTTTATTTGTAACTTCTTTATTTCTTTGTCTTCACGGATTTACAAATAATTATTATCATGAGACTATGTGCTTATGATATACATATACATCATTACATGGCACAACATCAAGGTCATGGTCTGTTAAAGGTCAAGAAGTACACATTCATGTCCCCTGCGGAAGGGGATTTAGCTGTCCTTCAGACTGCCTTGTCCAGTTTTATTATTGGAGGAAGACCTATTTAGTTTATTATAACATGTATAACAAATACATGTACTAAGATTTATATACATTGTATATTCCATCTACCTATCAAGATTTTATATTTCAGGACCTCAGTTTGTCTGAGATTGATATGAGAATTCAAGCCTTAAAAGAAACATTACAACAGTACAGTCAGAGATGACAGTATAATTATATACTTGAAGTGCAGAAAAACAGAACACTCCTATCATAATGAAAGAGGGGCAACTTGCTGTTATCAAGCGGAGGAATATTTACAATTCTGCTAGGGAAATAAATAGTGTTACTATATTGAGAAATATTTTCTGTTCTGCAAGGGAGCCAACTTGTTGTTGCCCTGTTGAGAAATACTTTCCGTTCTGCAAGAGAGGCAACTTGTTGTTGCCATGTAGTGAAATACTTTCCGTTCTGCAAGGGAGGCAACTTGTTGTTGCCATGAAGAGAAATACTTTCCATCCTGCAAGGGAGGCAACTTGTTGTTGCCATGTTGACAAATATTTTTTGTTCTGCAAGGGAGGCAACTTGTTGTTGCCATGTTGGCAAATATTTTCCATTATGTGGCAGAGGAATCTGGCGTCAGTCAAATTGGTATCTAAGATGAATGATATGATGTTATATTGACAGTGTTTCAACTTCGATTTTTTGTCTTCACACAAATTGAACACATTGGAAAACAGATGTTATTTTGTTTTAATCACTTATAATATGTAACTGCATATAAATACGTGTATGATATTTCTAAACCTAGAACATCCAAAATTCTTTAGATAACATGTTGTTTCTGTCATTCACTTTTAAGACAGTTGCTTACTACTCCCTTTCATCTGAAATGTCCTATATGAGCCACGTCACAACACAACCAACATAGTGCATTTGCGACCAGCATGGATCCAGATCAGCCTGCGCATCCGCGCAGTCTGATCAGGATCCATGCTGTTCACTATCAGGTTCTCTACTTGTAATAGGGTTGGTAAGCGAACAGCATGGATTCTGATCAGACTGCGCGGATGCGCAGGCTGATCTGGATCCATGCTGGTCGCAAACGCAATATGTTGGTTTTGTCGTGACGTGGATCATATACATTTTATAGAGGTACGGAATATTGCAGAATTGCAAACATGTGTTATATGATAGATTGCCTGAGATATTGACTTAATGTTGAACAATTCTCTGGTTTCTAACATTTCTATAATATATTGTAGATTTCCTAAGATATTGATGCGCTGTTACATGTCTCTATGTAAATTATAGATAATATACAGTATTTGTCTGCAGATAAACAGATCCCACATTCATACCAAAACATTAACAAAGACTTAAAGTAATAAATTATTGCATTATCAGAGTATTTTATCATCTAGTATAGAAAATTATTATATGTAACAAATGAATTATATCTACTCTATCTACATCTCTGTTATAGCAATCCTACGACCAACAACACTTGCTTATCGAGTTTAGAAAAGATTGTTATATAACTTTACATCTACTCACACTTCCCTTTTGTTAGTTATTTCTATGCCAGAAAATCCTCTGTGTGGAGAATGCAATATTTATCAAACATTTATTGTAAAATCTCTCTCGAAGAAGAAGAATAAGAATGTATTTCGAAATAATTAATGCATTATGGCTCACGTTTTTGTTTCACTTATGAGATTTTATTGATATTCCGAGTGGTACTTGTGATTATAAGTTAAGAATTGCTGCACTCCTTGGACTTGCTGCACTCCTTGGGTTTGCTGCACTATTGGACTTGCTGCACTGTTGGAATAGCTGCACTATTGGACTTGCTGCACTGTTGGAATGGCTGCGCTACTTGGACTTGCTGCAGTATAAGACTTGCTGCACTATTGGACTTGCTGCACTGTTGGAATAGCTGCGCTACTTAGACTTGCTGCAGTATAAGACTTGCTGCAGTATAAGACTTGCTGCACACCTTAGACTTGCTGCACTATTAGACTTGCTGCACTGTTGGAATAGCTGCGCTACTTAGACTTGCTGCAGTATAAGACTTGCTGCAGTATAAGACTTGCTGCACTATTGGACTTGCTGCACTATTGGACTAGCTACGCTTCTTAGACTTGCTTCGCTCCTTGGACTTGCTGCAGTATTGGACTTAATGCTTTTTTTCCTCACCTTTTCGAAGAAAATGGGGGATATAGAAATAGACTTCGCCTGTGTGTCCGCTCATCCATCTGTCGGGGCGAACATTCAATGGTCTATGAGCTATCAATTCCGTCCATAATTTAAGTTAAAAAAGAAGGAAATCCCATAAACAAGCTGGTGTATATGTCGTGTCTGGTTCGTAACTTTCTTATCCATGAAGGGATTTTGAAAATACTTGGCACAAATGTTTACAATTATGAGATGATGTGCCATGCCCGAAACCGGACCCCTACCTTAAAGGTCAAGGTCACAGTTGATAAGTTCAAAGATAAATAAAGTCTGTTGCAGGGTATATTTTGTGTCTATAATTTGCATAGGTCAAGGGATTTTGAAATTATTTTGCACAAATGTTCACAATAATGAGACAATGTGTCATACACAATAGCCAGACGCCTATCCCAAAGTGAAAGTCACATGTTTGAGGTCAAATATTGACATAGTCTATTACAGGGTATATTTTGTTTCTGACCCATTACTTTTTCATTGGTCAAGGGATTTAAAATTATTTGGCACAAATGTTGACAATATTAAGACAGTGTGCCATGTGCAAAAACAAGTTGCCTACCTTGAATTTCAAGGTTACAGTTGGAGTTTGAAGATTAACATTGTCTGTTATAGGGTATATTTTGCTTCAAATGCATAACTTTCTCATCTATCATGGGATTTGGAATATACTTGGCATAAATGTTTACAATAATAAGACAGTGTCATGCCCAATACCCGGACCCCTATCTCCAAGGTCAAGGCCACACTTAAGAGGTCAAAGCTTGACATGGTCTTTAATAGGGTATATTTTGTGTGCATTCCATAATTTTTTTATTGTTCAAGGGATTTTAAAAACACTTGGCACAAATGTTCTCAATAACAGAACCATGTGTCATATAGAACAACCTGACTGCTACCTTTAATGTCAAGGTCACACTTGAGTGCCTGAGCTTAACATTGTCTGTTCTAAGTATTTTTTGTGTGCAGAAAATAATTTTTTCATCAATCAAGGGATTTTAAAATAACTTAGCACAAATGTAAATGATAATTAGACAACCTGTCATGCGCAACACCTAGACCCCTACCTCAAAGGTCAAGGCCACAATTGGGGGTCAAAGCTTAAATAGTCTTTTGCAGGGTATGATGCCAAGTCAGGTCCATGCAAATAAAATGTCATTTGTGAATTGCCCATATACCTTGATTGATGACTGGACACGAAATATACCATGTAACATACCATATCCTTATTGTGTATTTGTCACATTTTGTGGCTTTGAGATAGTTATAACAAGTATACACATGTATTTCTGTTGACACATACACAGTAGTTATGTCATTTTTAGCTCGACTATACGAAGTATATGGACAGCTGTCCTACTCGCCCCGGCGTCGGCGTCCGCATCCAGATTTCAGATTAAAGTTTTGGTGCAGTAAAATATTTTTCACTATAACTTTGTCATTTCTTAAGGGATCAACTTCAAACTTCAAATATATGTTCCTTATCATCAACCACATCTTATGTGACAAGGTTCATAACTCTAGCACCAATATTTTCAGATTTATCTCCCCTTGAACTTAGAATTTTCCTTAAAAAAACTATTTTTACTGTAACTTCTTTATTTCTTAAGGGATCAACCAAATACTTCAAATATATGTACCTTATCATCATCCCCATATTATGTGACAAGGATCATAACTCTAGCATCAATATTTTCAGATTTATGTCCCCTTGAACTTAGAATTTTCCTTAAAAAAATACTATTTTTTACTGTAACTTCTTTATTTCTTAAGGGATCAACCTCACACTTCAAATATGTGTTCCTTATCATCATCCCCATCTTATGTGACAAGGTTCATAACTCTAGCACCAATATTTTCAGATTTATCTCCCCTTGAACTTAGAATTTTCCTTAAAAAATACTTTGTTTACTGTTACTTCTTTTTTTTTAAGGATCAACCTCATTCTTCAAATATATATGTACCTTATCATCAACCACATCTTATGGGACCAGGTTCATAACTCTAGCACCTATATTGCAAGAATTATCTCCCCATAAACTTAGATTTTTTTTTACTAGAAAAATGTTATTTTTTAATATAGCTTTTTTAGTTCTAAAGGTATCTACGTCAAACTTCAAATACTTATTCCTTATCATCAATTACATTTTATGTGACAATGTTCATAACTCTTGAAGCAATATTTACAGATTTATCTCTCTTTGAACTTAGGATTTTCTTTAAGAAATATTATAACTTCTTTACTTTTTAAGGTATCTACTTCAAACTTCAAATATATATTTCTTATCATTACACACATGTTGTGTGACAAGGTTCATAACTCTAGCGTGACTATTTCTAGAATTATTCCCCTTGATCTTGGAATTTATGTTAACAAATGTTATTTTTTACTATAACTTAATACATAATTATACATAATTGATTTTTCTTTCATAGTTTTGTCCTCCTTACTGCGTCCAGTATTTTATTAGTCGAGCTTCGCTGTCTCCTGTGACAGCTTTTGTATATGTCTTTAATGTAGTTATTTCCATATATGGTAATTCCTCGTGTTTTTAATGGTAATAGTTTTGGCGGTAATTTTATGTGTAAGTTGATAAGATATAGGCATTCGAGGCATTACGTTCACGCCGTCCATTTGTGAAATTTCTTTAAATATAATTTTCATATATTACGAAATATCATGAATAAATTTAGGGATTTAACATTGCCTTAAACAGATTTTTGATATCTTGTTTTATCTTTTTCAGATTCTTCGTCTTCGTTTTAACATGGGTGTAAAAAATTTTAAAAAAAGGGAAGATATCAATGTCATGTTTTGATTTAATCTGAACTTAATGCATTTCATATAATTAATGGTTTTTCATTAGACTCAAAATTGGGGATATGTCAGATAGGCGATTGAAGCAGCCGCTGATCTAGAGCTTTGGAGCTCCCTACCTCCCTCTCCCAAGACGGAGTAGGGCTGGGTAGCCCGCTCGCAGCATTTCTGACTTTAGCTTTTTCAATAACAAATATATATTATATTTCTTATTTCTACCTGCGATTGATTAAAGATAGTATTTCTTAGAAATCGATTTTCATTAGGTTTGTTTGGTTGGATCGGAGAGCAGAGCACGAAAATTTTAGAAGTACACATGCAGTTTTTCTTCAAGTATTGATCAATGGAGTTGTTTCTTTTGATTCCTGTAAATTTTTGACAAATAAACGGGTAGGCTTAACGGCATGCCCTCTAACTTTGTTTTATGTTATGTTTTTCTTTAAAGCTGCTTGAATGCAGGTGTATGTTGCAGGATAATAAATCATTTATGCTCGTTTGAGAGCATCGAATAAGAGCATAAATGTTATTATTGTAACTGGCATGTGCAAATCTAGCATTGATCAACATTTTACACTGGTAGTTCAAATCCATACCTCATTTTTTTCAAATAGCACAAAATTGTGCTTCGTGTACATGATGTCAAACTTCCCTTATGCAGGGACGTTGGTTACTTTGTTAAATATTTGTTTTGACGTCTTATCTGTGATATGCAAACTTCATAACCTCTGATCCCCTTTCAAAATTCATTTTTGTTTAGTTCCATTGTTTTCTCGTTTAGGGCACACGCATTATTTTACTTGGTAACAATACGCCGCTTTTCATTGAATGGCACTAACGTGTCACATTGATGGTTCCATGATAACCGCCGTATGAACGCATGTGCGGATGTTTCAAAATTCCAAATTTTACTATTTCATATTAAATGTTGAATACTGCTTAAGCCGGTGCTAGAGGGCGTGAACGGTAATTTTCACTTTCCATTACCGTCCACGAACAGGCTCAATCAATCCGGGCCTGCAACATTTTAAATTTTGTCGTTTTGTGCGTTCATTAGGGATTCTTTATTACTCTCTCTCGTATACATTGTAGTTTTAGGCGTCCATGAAATAAAATATCATCAAAAGATACAAGTGTACAAGTTTATTCATTATTCAACCAGAATGTCGGAGACCCACGTGGCAAAACATATATGAATACAAATATTGCGACAAGGTACATGCATCATAAATACATGTATCAAATTTATACGTAATTTGGTTATTTTAAGTAAAATACAAGGGTACAAAATTAGTGATACAGATTTCCCTTTGGATTTGAAATTGTGTACATGACAAAAAGTCCCACTATTTTCCACATTGGTCACTTTGAGTTCGAAAACCAAGTGACAAACTATGACAAGTGGATAGTAAGAAATAACTATATATAACCATATGCATGACTCTTTCACTGGGATAAGAATAACAGAGACGTTATTATATTTTTAAAAACTAAATCTACAGGTCAACATACTTATAACTTTAATTCTTTTTAATTCCACATTCAAATATGGTTTCAAATGGGTACGGGTATTCGACATTATCACACAGTTTGTTAGTTGGAAAGGGATTTAATAACATTGTTTCCAAATTGGAAACTTATACCACAAATCTATAGTCATGTAATTAAAATGCTTGAAATAATTGACAATATTTCGCATTCGAATGCTTGAAATAATTGACAATGTCTCGCCTTCGAATCCTCCAATGCAGCATCAATAATGAGTTTTTACATTACCAATACATGGTATGTACTGGGTATTGGTAAAACATATGTAAAATCAAGTTTGACTGAAAAGGGGCAAAAAGTTTTTCCCCAAAACTACCATAATAATTGTATACATATATAACATTTTTCCTTTCCAGAAAAAGAGCAGGAAACATTGTATGCAGTAATGATAACATTATTGGTCTGGAATGTCATCTTAATATATAGCAAAATAGCCCAATTTGGTATACAATATGTATACTAACAGTTGCATCAATTAAGACATATGGAAGGGAATAATGAAAATACATGTTGAAATTTTAGTGAAACATTTTATTTGCCGACAACAATAATCATGTTTATCAAACATATTATTTGATTCATTCTCAATGTAGGTTTCGCAACTTTGTAGTTGTGTTTTTCATATCTTCAATCTGGAAAATAAAATCATGAAATAATTGACATTTATACATGTAGTGTAAAAGAAACTTAATAAGGTTATTTGATAATATAGTATATAACAATATGTATGTTAATGTGTTGTATGGATTTTTATACAATATTGAACACAATATTAGATTTTATAGAACATCATCAACAGTTCTCGTGTCAGGGATTATTTTAAAGAAGCTTCACCAGTAAACAATTGAGGACTTTTATTTGCAACATTATAATCGTAATGTATTAATAATGGCAGAAATATATTTCATGAAGATCATTTTACTATAAGCTAGCATGCTACCCTCAAGCTATTGTACAACCATTTACAATGTAGCAACATGTAACTGACATGTGTTTTAATACTTTTTTATTTTCTACAGTTGCAGGTTCGTTTATTAACTTTATTACAAGTATGTTATTATGCAATTGTTCTCATTTATATTAAATCCATGAAAGTAAATTAGATAATTAAAATGTAAGAAAAGAAACAACGTACACTAAGAAACACTTTATCGCAGTGTATAGCTAAAGGCTTTCACTTCACAAACTTCTATGTAACCCGAAAAAAAACTTTGTTGGGAAAATTTAATGAATCTTGTCCTAACGTTGCTTCTAGGAACGCTATTCATTCCTACCAAGATTAACAATTTATTAGGAAAAATGTCACATAAAGATTAAAGAAAAAGCACATAAACCCCAAATGTTTGCAGTCCTTCTGTCCGTCCGTCACATTTTTGTGTCTGGTCCATAACTATGTCATTCATCAAAGGAATTTAAAATAACTTGGCACAAATGTTTCTTATAATAAGATGAAGTGTCATGCGCAACAACCGGACCCCTACCTCAAAGCTCAAGGTCACACTTGGTGATTAAAAGTCAACATTGTCTATTTGATGGTATATGTAGTGTCCGGTCCTTAACTTTCTTATCCATAAAGGGATTTTGAAAATGTTAACAATAATCAGATGATGTACCATGCCCAAACCGGACCCTACCTTAAAGGTCAAGGTCACAATTGATAAATTCAAAGATAAATAAAGTCTGTTGCAGGGTATATTTTGTGTCCGGTCTATAACTTTCATAGGTCAAGGGATTTTGAAATTATTTTGCACAAATGTTCACAAAAATGAGACGATGTGTCATAGCAATAGCTAGACGCCTATCAATAACAGGACCATGTGTCATATAGAACAGCCTGACTCCTACCTTTAATGTCAAGGTCACACTTGAGTGCCAGAGCTTAACATTGTCTGTTCTATGTATTTTTTGTGTGCAGAATATAATCAATCTAGGGATTTTAAAATAACTTGGCACAAATGTTAATGATAATAAGACAACATGTCATGTGCAACACCTTGACCCCTACCTCTTAGGTCAAGGTCACAATTGGAAGTCAAAGCCTAAATAGTCTCTTACAGGGTATGATGCCAAGTCAGGCCCAAGCAAATAAAATGTCATTGGTGAATTGCCCACATACCTTGATTGATGACTGGACTTGAAATATACCATGTAACATACCATATCCTGATTTGTATTTGTCACATTTTGTGGCTTTGAGATAGTGATAACAAGTATACACGTCTTTAATGAATTTATTGTTACTGGCATGTGCAAATCTAGCATTAATCAAAATTTTGCACTGAAAGTCCAGATCCATACCTCATTTTTTTCAAATCCTTCATGTACATGATGTGTAACTTTGTTACACATTTTTATTAACCATGTCTTTTCACGTCTTATCTGTGATATGCAGGCTTCATAACCTCTGTTCCCCTTTCAAAATTCAATTTTGTTTAGTTCCATTTTTTTTTCTACTTTATGGCACACGCAGTAGTTTACTTGGTAACAATACGCCGCTTTTCATTGAATGGCACTAACGTGTCACATTGGAGGTTCCATGATAACCGCCGTATGAACACGTGTGCGGATGTTTCAAAATTCTAAATTTTACCATTTCATATTAAATGTTGAATACTGCTTAAGCCGGTGCTAGGGGGCGTGAACGCGGTAACTTGCACTTTCTATTACCGTCCATGAACAGGCTCAATCAAACCGAGCCTGCAACATTTTCAATTTTGTCGTTTTGTGCGTTCATTAGGGATTCTTTATTACTCTCTCTCGTATACATTGTAGTTTTAGGCGTCCATGAAATAAAATATCATCAAAAGATACAAGTGTACAAGTTTATTCATTATTCAACCAGAATGTCTGAGACCCACGTGGCAAAACATATAGGAATACAAATATGGCGACAAGGAACATGGATCACAAATACATGTATCAAATTTATACGTAATTTGGTTATTTTAAGTAAACTACAAGGGTACAAAATCAGTGATACAGATTTCCCTTTGGATTTGAAATTGTGTATATGACAAAAAGTCCCACTTTTTTCACATTGGTCACTTTGAGTTCGAAAACCAAGTGACAAACTATGACAAGTGGATAGTAAGAAATAACTATATATAATCATATGCATGACTATTGCATTGGGATAAGAATAACAGAGTCGTTATTATATCTAAAAACTAAATCTACGGAATCCTCGGCATACTTATAACTTTAATACTTTTAACTCCAAATGCAAACGTGGTTTCAAATGGGTACGGGTATTCGACATTATCACACAGTTTGTTAGTTGGAAAGGGATTTAATAACATTGTTTCCAAATTGGAAACTTATACCACAAATATATAGTCATGTATTTAGGAAATGCTTGAAATAATTGACAATATTTCGCATTCGAATGCTTGAAATAATTGACAATATCTCGCCTTCGAATCCTCCAATGCAGCATCAATAATGAGTTTTTACATTACCAATACATGGTATGTACTGGGTATTGGTAAAACATATGTAAAATCAAGTTTGACTGAAAAGGGGCAAAAAGTTTTTCCCCAAAACTACCATAATAATTGTATACATATATAACATTTTTCCTTTCCAGAAAAAGACCAGGAAACATTGTATGCAGTAATGATAACATTATTGGTCTGGAATGTCATCTTAATATATAGCAAAATAGCCCAATTTGGTATACAATATATATACTAACAGTTGCATCAGTTAAGACATATGGAAGGGAATAATGAAAATACATGTTGACATTTTACTGAAACATTTTATTTGCCGAAAACAATAATCATGTTTATCAAACATATTATTTGATTCATTCTGAATGTAGGTTTCGCAACTTTGTAGTTGTGTTTTTCTTATCTTCAATCTGGAAAAATAAATCATGAAATAATTGACAAATACATGTAGTGTAAAAGAAACTTAATAAGGTTATTTGATAATATAGTATATAACAATATGTATGTTAATGTGCAGTATGGATTTTTATACAATATTGAACACAATATTAGATTTTATAGAACATCATCGACAGTTCACGTGTCGGGGTTAGATATGAGTAATTATTTGATGATCATCAAAATAGGGAAAGAAGCTTCCCAGCAAACAGATGAGGACTTATTTTCAACATTATAATCGTAATGTATTAATAATGGCGGAAATATATTTCATGAAGATCATTTTACTATAAGCTAGCATGCTACCCTCAAGCTATTGTACAACCATTTACAATGTACCAAGATGTAACTGACATGTGTTTTAATACTTTTTTTATTTTCTACAGTTGCAGGTTCGTTTATTAACTTTATTACAAGTATGTTATAATGCAATTGTTCTCATTTATATTAAATCCATAAAAGTAAATTAAATAATTAAAATGTAAGAAAAGAAACAACGTACACTAAGAAACACTTTATAGCTGTGTATAGCTATAGGCGTACACTTCACAAACTTCTAGGTAATCCTCATAATGTTGTTGGGAAAATTTAATGAATCTTGTTCTAACGGTGCTTCTAAAAATGTGATTTATTCCTCTGAAGGTTAAATAGCTTGCAATTTCTGTCATATCGTCCAATGACGGACCAACAGAGATTGATATATATCTATTTCGAGAGCCTGAAAAATAAGAAAAGAATCAAAATATGTTTACCATTCAAATGGACTGAGACGCCTATGTTATCATTAGATGGAACGTGTTTGAGTATTTTTATATTTTAGAGTGATTATTAAATGTTAATATTAAATAAAATGAGCGTGGATATTTTAGAATGCTTCGCTATATTATAATTAAATAGAATGAGCTTGGATATTTTAGAGTTCATCTCCCCTATGTTATTAAACAGTGGCGGATTCAGGCTCGGGCTTCAGGGCAGCAGCCCCCGCCCAAGCTTGGCCCAAAGACACGTTTACCAGTTGGGTTGGCAGTTTTTTAGAATTCTTCGCTAGGTTATAATTGAATAGAATGAGCTTGGATACTTTTAAAGTTCAGGTCCCCATGTTATTAAATACCATGAGCTTGGAGTTCTTCCGTATGTTGATCAATTTAAATACAGCCACCGTCTGCTATGAACATTTATACATTGTTAACATGAGTATTGTTTCTTGTGTTCACTTTTTCCTTCTGAAGGAAATCAAAGCTAAATGCGTGTTTCTTACCGCCGGAAAAATCCTTAGATCCGTATACTATTAAACTTTCTATGTTATACCATTCTCCAAGGTCCACGTAAAGCCAGTTTTTATATCCTACTTGCGTCCGGGCACATGGAGAATTTAGTCCATTGATTAAGTCCTTTCCATCTACAGCTTTGTCGCCAGATTGTAAAGCAGTGGCCATGGAGGACATATTTACACTCTTATTGAGAGCCACGTTGACGTAAATACCTTTCGAGAGAAAATAACATCGGTTTAATACGCCAAATCTACATAGAATAAATAGTTGCTGTAATATTATTCTTTCAATATACGCTACCTTACTTAGAATACAAGATCAAAGATTAATTTATTATTTTAACGTTCAAAAGCACAACAAATATTAAATTTCCAATTCTGAAAATCAATAAAAAAATTTTTTTTTCAAATTCCTTCAAACATTATTATCAAAACCCATGGACGCAACGGAAATTATGGAAAATTGAATTGGATACTTTTGTTCTGATGATCACAACCGGCACCGGTTTTCGCAAAGTAAAACACCAATGTGTGACTTGCCACGCAGTTGTTTATCTAATATGAATTATATTGTTACAAAACAATACACTTTCTATAAAACATGTAAATCATTTTCAAGCAAGCAGAATTTTAAATGAGAAAGTCCATTAACTAGGACTTTGTTACGAGAAATAAGTATTTGATTCAAAATACATGAAAGACAGACAATTTATTTCAATCAAATAAGTTTTATAAGCCCATGGTGACATAATAACTGCATATTTACAATATATAGAACAGTGCATATGTTAACGTACAAAACATTATCACAATATAATTATGTCTTCATAACGACTTATTCGTAGGAACGTAAAATTATGCAAATATTAATTTATATGTTTGTAATTCATGTATACAGTATAAGCAAGCAGAATGTTTGTCCCAGGAAGCTATGCTTCAAGGAATACTCAGGCAAATTTATGACAAAAATATTTAAATGATCTTAAGTACTCAAATCACGATAAAATGACAATTTTGAATGTCCCAGCATGAATTTCTGTATAAATTCTGAATATTTTGGGGTTTAGGCGTAAATACAATATAAAATGTTGAACGGTAATCTAGACGCCGACAGAATCACCGAGTAGTTTCAAAACTAGTCATGTGACTTGAACAAACTCCGGAAGTTACAATAACAGGTATTTTGGATCTTGTACGTTTGAAACAAGTCTAAGCCATTCATTTGGCATGTTCTTTAACGTTTCTAGAGTTCACTGTGACGACAAATGTGAAATATTTACGCTCTAACCTGACCCGCGATGGTCAAGTTAGGAAACCATTTTATCCATTATAAGGAGAGATTGTTTGTTCCTGTGACTGCCTAGTGGACATTTACAGAATAATGAATGAAAAATTCAAAACGAAAAAATGAAAATTTTGACTGTGCCACCCTTTTTATACTTTACAAGATATTAGTAGGAAGCAAAGTCTAAGAAAATAAAATAAATCGGGCAAAAAATCATCAATCTTAATAATAATATAGATAATAATAAAATCTTTCCGTTTGCGCAACAAACCCCCATCGTCAACAAGAGTAGCGTGCAAGCAATCATTATTTCTGCATTGTCGACCATGTATACACTAGTTAACATGAATGTATTTTATCAATTAGATATGTGAGTAATTAATTTGTATTTGTTCATTTGTCTGAATTTTGATTTTATCATAACCACATATGTTATACTTCAGGTAGAATGATATCATTTATCTTGAATTTCTGAAAGCTTTACATTCTTTTTTTTCATATTTTTGACACGTACACAGAATAAATACATTTTGTGATCTCGACAAGAAACATATTAATAATATTTTTTTCATGTGCGTGCGTGCGTGTGTTTTTATGGTATTTAAGATTGAATATCGCTTTTAGCCGATGTTAGGTGCGTGGCATATTCCATTACCTCCGACGAACGGACTCAATTAAAGAGTTCGATAATGGTAACGTCATAATCTGTTTTGTATGACTACCATTTTGTGCAGCATTTACACTGACAAAAAGTATTTTCACTTTTACTACTTTGTTGAAAATCTCATCTGGTCTTTTTATAAAAGTATATTTACACCACCAAAGCATAATATTAAGACGCTTTTTCAGTTATATAAACGAAATATCAGCAATTCTTTATTGATGATATACATTTGTGACGAAATTCTACCTAGTATATTTCAATACGCAAAAGATATACGAAGTAGAAACAAATGGTGCATTCCTATCTAGCAGTCAAACAGAATGACATGTTATCAAAGCATGTAGATCTAATAAATTCTGATAAACCACTACTGCTAGTGAAATTTATAAAATACAATTTTTACTGTAGCCGGATTATATCTGAATGCGAATGAAAAGAAAATCAAAACTAAATGGAATAACAGGCAGAAATAAATGCTGTCATACTTAAATTTTGCTTCTTTAGGAAAAGAAAGTCGATGTCATCATACATCATGTTAAAAATGTAACAAAATTAGAGAAATTTAAAGAACTATATTTGAACTATAATTATTTCAAAATATTGATGATGTGACGTCATGAAGTGATGATGTCACAGAGGAGAATGCGAGACGTTACGCGGCAAAATCAGTAAAAAGTCCTTAAAATCGCTTAAAAAGCATGAAATAAAAAGAAAATTATTTGTTTTACATATAAGATTGAAATATATTTCATTCATGAACACAAGCTATTATATTTTCACTCATGGCTACGCCACTCGTGAAAATATTGCATCTGTTGTTCACTCAGTGAAATTATATTTCAATCTTACATGCAAAACAAAAAAATATCCTCTATATCTTATTGTCAACATTCTTTGATGTTGCACAGTTTTTATTTCTCATTTAGAAAAAAATCTTTGTAAATGGCGTCTACAATGTAAACACTAGTAAAGTATTTTATTGATGTATGCATTTGTTAGCCAAACGTCAAAGCACAGGTAGAACAATGTAGTACTAGGTTGATGCTTTATTCAACATCATTTTACATATTTTCTGTAGTTTTATTACTGTTGCTGCTGTTTCAATGAGAATTTTGCTTAGAGAATTTCAACATTTTCCAATATGTGTCAGCAATCGGTTATATCACCATTATCTGTTATCATTTCTTTCATTAAAACACGGCATTCAATTATTATCGCAAAAGACAAAAGGATAACGTAAACCATATCTGCAAACATACAGCTGTAGCCAGCTTCATCAAAAGCTTTCTCCACACACAGTCTGTGATATACTTGTGTAATAAATACAATGTAGTATCTCGACATAAAAGGCGCAATCAACAGTTGTTACGTCGTTTTGTAAAGGTTTTCATACAAATGAATATCCTTTGGAAATGAAACAACGAAATCTACTTTTTGATATCATAAAAAAACCTGAAACATGCTGTAACTCACTGCCTTTCTCAAAATTCCTTAATAAAGTTTCTCTACTTTTGAATAAACTGTGTAAATATTATGGCTGTAACAAACCACTAAAGTCTCATGAACTCCTGAAGAAAAATCAAACACACGTATTCGCCTGTCCTGGTATCACCAAAGTGGGTAACTTTTGAAATTTTATTCTTTTTGTATATTATTTACTAAATTTCAATATCGAAAATTTATTTGAACTAATATCTAAGTAACAAAACATGCATTGTCAATAGTATTCATAAAATTTTATTGTTAATTGAGCAAAAAGATTTTATGTCAAATCTAGCAAATATTGCAGTCTATCTAAAAATGATTTGATTATGAACATAAAAATGTACATTCTAATTTTTCAAAATAGATTTGATAGTCATATTCTTCTTAATAGCAATACAAGTGTTTAGTACAGTCACTGATTTAGAAATGAATGTGTAGAAACGACTTCAAAACACCAGACTATTTACATATACATATTTAAAAGATAGTATTATAAAAAAAAACTAGCATGTTTAAATTCATAGAATTACTTCAGTCATGTGAAAAGTCTATATTATTAAATTTATGTAAATTTATTTATTTTGCAAAAAGTAAAAGAAAAGATATGTTGATAGCTTAGGTTATACATAAATTTAATGTTAAAATGTTGTTATTATTTTCATAGATATTGTAAACGTTTACAATATCTATGAAAATAATAACAACATTTTAACATTATATTTTCGCTAGTAATGTTTATATTAAAATGAGATTATTCTGATATTAAAAATGAGATTATTCTGATATACATTTATTTTATACAAACTTTTCTGCATCAATATATGTTCATTCTCCAATATACTGTAAATCTTTGAATTATATCATGTGTTTATCTATCTATAATATTTGATATGTGAAATGTAACAAGATACTGTATTGTATACGTTACGAAATAAAATTTATATTCTGTTCTTATAATATTACATCACACTTTTATATGTTACTATGTCAACTTTTGTTCCCCACGGT